TTAAAAAAGACAAAGAAAATGTAGGGTGTTAAAAAAAGAAATCTGAGACATGAAACAAAACAATTCCACTCTGTGAATTCAAATAAAAAGGTATTTGCTTACCAAAGAAGTGTTATGCTAATATATTAAGAAGTCCTTTGATTAGGATACAGTATAAGACCATTCTGCAACTACTCATTAACAGGTCAGACTCAATCTCACGAATACAGGATGGATCATGCATATTAGCCTTTTTTATATAGGATGCCATATTCTTAATGTTTTTATAATCTTTTCCCTTAACCTATAGGGATTTATCAAAAGCTAATAATTATTAAAGCAAAGATTTGAAATTTGACAATTCCTCTTTCAGTTTCACTTATTTTTCTTCTATTACATTCAAATGAGATGGACAGACCTTAAGGGCATTGTACTCAGTAAAAAAAAGTCGATCTAAGGTTACATATGGCAGATAACATGCATATACCATTCTCAAAGTGACTGCTGGGAGGGAGGGAGACTACAAACACAAAGAGAATTAGGCTAGAGGGAGTTCTTTTGTGGTGATGGGACAGTTTTGTGCCTTGATTGTGGTGGCAGTTATCTGAATCGACACATAGAATAAATTGCATAGAACTATACACACACATGAATATAGGTTAAAAAACTGTCCGGCTGGTGTGGTTCAGTGGTTGAGCATCAATCCATGCACCAAAAGATCACGTTTGATTCTTGGTCAAGGCACATGCCCAGGTTGCAGGCCCAATCCTGGTTGGAGCTATACAGGAGGCAGCGGATTAATGTCTCTCCCTCTCATCAATGTTTCTATCTCCCTCTCCCTCTCCTTCCTTTCTAAAATCAATAAAAATTAAAAAACATTTTTAAAAAATGATGAAAACTGAGTAAGGTCTAGTTTAGTTAATAATTGATATATTCCAATGTCAAGTTCCTGGTTTTGATATTGCACAAAGCTGTATAAGATGTCATGATTAGGGGAATCTGGGTGAAAGGTACATGGGACTTTGTGTACCTGTTTTGCAACTTCCTGTGTCTATATATTTCAGTAAATTGACTTCTTTTACACTAACATGACCCAAAAAAATCAGCACACTTTTTTAATAAAAGTACTTAGATTAGGTATCCACTCCCCTTATCCATGGATGAATGGATGGATGGGATGGATGGATAGATACAAAGATATATCATAATTTGAGGTAGAAGGTTTGGGGGTGATTTTTTGGACACGTTCTTTATACCTAATGATATAGCTTGATTTTTTAATGAACACAAGTCATTTTTATTAAAATTATCCAGCTGTTACGCTAAAAAAAATCTTCCCAGTTCTGATTATTAGTCAATTTAGAAACCAATGACCCCCCCCCCCCGCCCCCCAGCTGCATTTAACTCATAAAATACCTTTATACCATTCCAGGGAGTCTGAGACCAGAGATCCTGTTCATTACAACCTCATATAAAAAAATGGCAGGCTGCTCTAATGTAAATGAACTACTGCATATGCTAAGTCTAATGGGCTGAACTGAAACGCATTAAGAAATCAAACATCTGGTTTTCGGTTTTAGAATCTGAAAGTGAGGTGAGAGTGGGGTCTCTCAGAGAAAATAACTAACAAGCAGTTAGGGATAGTGGACTAGTACCTGATAAAAGGCCAGGAATGAGGAAAAAAGATGAAATCATCTCATGCAGTTATTTGTGTATCTCCCTTGAGCTCCTCCTCTAGACTATAACTTCCTTTAAGGCAAGTACTATGTCATAATTAGCCTTGTATCTCTAGTACTGTGACTTACATAAGGTAGTTGCTTCAACAGTTTATTGGAGGAATGAATTCTTAGTAGAGATAAAGCAGCAGCCCAGGATTGCCCATAATTAAGGGGAGGAGAAAGGAGGAGCCACCACCTCAGAAGAAATCAGAACTATGATGGTGTCAACTAGCCCTAGCCAGTTTGGCTCAGTGGATAGTGTCAGCCTGCGGACCAAAGAGTTCAGGTTTGATTCCAGTCAAGGGCATGTTCCTTGGTTGCAGGCTCCTCCCCCGCCAGAGCCCTGGTCAGGGCTTGTGCAGGAGGCAACCAATCAATGTGTTCCTCTCACATCAATATTTCTCTATGTCTTTCCCTCTCTCTTCCACTCTCTAAAAACCAATGAAAAAATATCCTCGGGCGAAAATTAAAAAATAGTAATAAAAAAATGTTTTAATAAAATTTTTTTAAATGTTTTAAAGATAGTACCAACTAATGCTGCTCAAGAAATGGTCTGCACACTATTCCTGGTCCATGGCAAAGGAAGTACAGAAATTGATAGCATTTAGAAACTTCTGTATCAACTTGGCATTGCCACACATCCAACTTTATGTCTGTCAAATCCAATAAACACCCCTAGCTGGGTGGCTCAGATGGTTGGAGCATAATCCTGATGGACCAGGTTTTATGGGTTTGATCCCCAGTCAGGGTACATAAAGAATCAACCAATGAACGCATAAATAAGTGGAACAACAAATCAAAGTCAATCAGTCTCTGTCTCTCTTTCTCTCCCTCTCTCTCTCAAAAAAAAAAAAATCAATAAATTTAATAATCCATTGCCCAATCCAAGGCTGTAAAGAACTATGTTTAAAAAAAGATCCAATAATAGCTTTGGGATTGTACTTTGAAGAATGTTTTCCATTTTATTTTGCTAAAAATTCATTGTTATCGTCTTCCACAAAACTATTTGCCCATGGTGAACTGAAAATTTTAAATCAATAAAATCAACTAGTTCTTTACAATGAAGAAAAAAGAAATGAAAAAACGTCCTTTCTGTTGATAACCTGTCATGTGGTCCAGCTACAACTGTGCCCACAATAGTCATACTTTTTCTATTCTATCACATTAGAGAATATGGAGAAATACCTATTTTCTCTTTTGTTATGAGCAAACTTTGACCATTCAATTACGAAGCAAATTTTGCAAGTTTTAAGGTTAGATGACTAGATGTATGTAGTGTTTTTCCTGACAGCATTTCAAGTAAGCTACATTTCAAGTGAATATGCCTCTGTAAATGTACTCAAGCTTAAGAAGAAACCTGGTAATTAATAGAAGAAAACATGGGCTGTGGAGTTAAAACTCAGTGTCTGAATCCCATCTCTATCAACTTGTTATATAATTCTGGACAAGCTACTAACTAACATCACCCTCCCTGAGTTTCAGTGTCCTCATCTTTCTCAACTGTAAAATGGGAACAGATAACACCTATCTTGCAGGAGGATAATCATAAGGTATTAAATGAGGCACTTGCCCTGGCTGTTTGGCTCGGTTGGAGCATCGTCCCATACACCTAAAGGTTGTGGGTTCGATTCCCAGTCAGGGCATATCCCTAGGTTGCAGGTTTGATCCCAGTGGGGCGCATACCCGGTCGATGTTTCTCTCTCTCACATCGATGTTTGTTTCTCTCTTTCTCTTTCTCTCTCTCTCAAATCAATAAAAACATATCCTCAGGTGAGGATTAAATAAGGTACTGTATGGAGTACACAAGAGCCCACAAACAGTGGCCAGCACAGAGTGAAATTATGAAACACACAGACCTTTTTCCTCCCTCTAAACCCCAGGTTCCTTC